GCAGTGCTGGGGAGGGATCCAGGATCACTCCTGGCAAAACTGGCATCACACTGGCCAGCTCGATGACTCCTCCAGAAGGAGGCCATGTGTGGCACCTGAAGTTCCGTGGTGCGGTGAGATCAAACTCTGGGCCTTATACATGGCAGACATGTGCTCTATCTCTGAAACTATCTCTCTGACCCCAAAGCGTTTGTGTTACATCAGATTGAGTGAAAAGTATTCATCAGAAATACATTGCTGTTGTCTAATTTCATTATACTTACTTTTCTGATTACTCGTCTGTAAGAAGCCTGTGGTTTTATACCCTTTGGGTGAAAAGTTCTCTCTGATTTCTCTCTGATTTGATGTGACACAAGCAGATCAAAGTTCAGAGACATAAAGGAAATTCTGTACTCAAGCGGAAGATCCTCCTTTCAGTCTGACTTTGAAAAAGAGTCAACTGCTTATGTTTCAGAAATCCAGTTTAATAGTTTCCTGCAGATTAGATGAAGGTAGGGCAGGAAGGCAGCTCGGTGATTCTTCATGGGTATAAACTTGAGTTGACCCACCCGGCAGACAGATTAGATGGGGCAGGTGAGGGTTTGGAGTGTGTGAGGACCAGGGTCATGGTTCCTGCAGTCCCACCTGTAGCAACTCCCCTTCACCCCTCTGTAATTTACTGACAATGTGGGAAAGAACCCGGAAGACCAATTTAGGAAGGGGCAGGCTTAGAGATTATAGTTACCTCAGTGACTTTAATGCCACATTTGTACTAAGCATTTTATTATACCAAGTATCATAAGAACCTCATTTTTGGCATAGTTTTGTAGGAGTCAGCAGGGGCAGCGCGGGTGGAAACAGCATGATAGTTGATAAAAGTTAAGGCATTTAAGAACATTCGCAGAGTGCCATTTCTTCTGAGTGTCAGGCCTATCTATACGGAAGAATAGAGCCGGGTCTTTGTCACCAAGAACCTTGAATACTGGAGGAAAGAAGAGAGATGCTGGTGGGAAAACATGAGAGTCCTACTGCTAGTCCAGACAGCAGGGTTACAAGATAGCGGGGTGACACTAGAGATAACGGTGGGTGCTGTACTAAGAAAGACTCATAATGAATGAGGTTAAAGAGACAGCTCAAACAGCTGGAGCCCAAGCTTTGCACAGTCAGGAGTCACCCCCATTCACACCTCCGAATGTGGCCCCTATACAATGAGAAGAAAACCCAACAAATTTATAATGGAGAAGGTAATGATTTATTTGTATTGCATATATTGAAATTTTACTCTCAAATGAAAGGAAAAAGGTGATGAAAGAATCAGAGTTACCTGGAAAGAAATGATCATCCCTGTCAGGTGTTTTAAATAGAACTAGCTCTTAAGACTGATTCGGTCACCTCGACGAATTGTCACGGAGTCTGGGGGGATAGCACACACTTTAGGTGCTGGAGCCTCAGGTTCAAGCCCCTGCATGACATGGTTCCCTAGCAATGCACAGAGTGTCCCCCAAACACCAATGTTGGCAGTATTCACCCCAACACTGAATGTGTTGGGGCCCGAATATGTTGGGGGGGTGGACTCCTTTCTTTGGGACTCAATCTTTCTAAATGACCAAGCTCATTCCTTTCAGGTACAATTTGCCTGTGTGATCAAAATTCTGTGGCTGGAGCACAAGTACAAGTGGGTGCGTGACTTGCATTGCACATGACTGACCTGGGTTCAAGCCTCAGCATCCCACATGGTCTCCCTGAGCACAGCCAGGAGCAAGCCCTGAGCTCCCTGCCACTTGTTGCTCAAAAACAACAAGGGGAAAAATTGTTACATCTTTTTCCAAAGGAAAAGGATGCTAGTCCTTCAGTTAGGTTATTTTATTACCCATCTGACAAATGACTGGATTGATTAGAAGTTGGGTTGATAGTAATTTACTCCCTGCATTAAATATATCTGGGAAAAGCTCAAGGTGAGAGCCAGAGAGCTCAGTGGGCTGAGGGCATGCCAGATGTAACCCTAAGCACAAAAGAAAACAAAAAGGCCCAGCTGAGATGAATTGATAAGGAAGCTGAACTCCAAACCTTACGTGCAAGATCTCGAGAAAGATCCCAGCAATTTTTATATTCATAATTTTGCATTTCATTTATTTTGTTAAGTATGATTTTAATAAACTAGACAAAATTCAGGGCCCACAAAACCCTGATTCTTCCTGGATTCCAGGTAATTATCACTCAGTGAGTTTCTTGAATGAAGCATCTATAATATGCTTCTATAATATTCTTCAATAAACACTGAGTGGTGAACACATTATCAATTGAATGAGTCACAGCTCACCTACAATATGCCATAAAAATTTGCGTCTGTAAATTAATAAATTTTCCATAAATTGCCAAAATATTTATAAGATGCCATTGTTTGGGGTTTTTTTTCTTTTTGGGTCATACCCGGTGATGCACAGGTGTCATTCCTGGCTCTGTACTCAGGAATTACTCCTGGTGGTGCTCAGGGGACCATATGGGATATGAATGGGATGCTGGGATTCGAACCTGAGTCAGATGTATGCAAGGCAAATGCCCTACCCACTGCGCTATCGCTCCAGCCCCATTTCCCATTGTTTTTGAAAGGGTAATAATCATCTCTTACAGATGAAATCAGGAACAGTGTTTGCTAATCCTAAATGTTCAGTATCTTTTATTTATTCCCTTTTGTTTTTGTTTTGGGGTCACACACCGCCATGCTCAGGGGTTGTTCCTGGCTCTCCTCTCAGAAATTACTCCTGGTGGTGCCTGGGGGATCATATGGGATACCAGGGATCAAACCTGGGTCAGCTGTGTGCAAGGCAAACGCCCTACCTGCTGTACGATTGCTCTGGCCCCAACTAATTTCTTTTCTCCTGCTGACTTTGAAGTGTTTCTTCACTCACCTACACAGATCTAGACTGTGGCTTGTTTAAAAAATTCTTTTAGTCATTTCGTTGGTTCTAATGATAACAAGTTCCGTGATTGTAGCAACTGAAGACTTGACAAAGTAGAAAGGTGATGCCTTACTCAGACAGAGCATGGGGACACTCTGGCTTGTTGGTGGAACATCAGTATTTTGCCAAGAAATAAGTACTAAGATAGAACAAAGGAAACCGAAACCTTGTTCCTACTGACTGCTTGACCCCACTGTGGAGATGATCAGTGAGGTGGGGAGCTGCACTGTGAAGGCAGACGGAACTGTGGTCACAGTGAAGTTCTCATGCTCTCCCCGCCACATGGCATAATGCCCTGTCTTTAGATAAGTTGTCACACAAGAGCTTACTCGAAGGCATTGTTATCATTTGGGGTTATGTTCTGAAATCCTGGCAGCAGCTTCTCATGTCCAAACACTTCTACCTTAAAGATGAAGACCGCTCAGGACCTTAGAATGGTTTAGGGGTGACTGGTTTCTTTGTAGTAGTTGGAAAGTTGAGTTCATCACATTCAGCAACTACTCTGTTCTCCCAAGTGTGTCTTTTCCTTCCCATCTTTATAAGGAGACATCTTCTGTTTAAACTTAGCACTGCTGCCGGAGCACTGCCAGGGGTCACTCCTGAGCACCACCAGGTGTCGTCCAGTCCCTGCAATGGGTTATCGGCGCTGGACCACTCCAGGGGGGAAAGGGTGTTGTCCTTCCTCCTGCTCCCCCTTGGCAGCTCAGTGGCTGCCATCTTCCAGAGGCCATTGGACAGTCAGGTTTGGGCCCGCAGTGATGAGACACACGGGGCCTGACAGGATGGGGGTGGAGCCGGCCCTTTCCTCCCCACCCCAACAAGACCCCCAAGTTGCTGCCCACAAACGACTTCTCTGACTCCTGATCAAGCTGCTTAACGGCCATGGTCCCAGAGACTCAGAAACAAATTGCAAAACCCAGCAGCTTTTGGCAGAAGTGCATCCAGACCCTGCAGTAAGTTACTAGCACCAGGCCACCCCAGGGGTGAACATTGTGAACTAAATTATAAAGTTAAAAAATTTTTTAAAAAAAGTAATGTGGAGTTTATGCCCAATTCAATCATCTTAATCAATGGCTGAATAAATAGCAGTGCTCCTACATTATATAATTTTTAAAAAAGAAAAAGAAATAATATTTGCTGCAGAACAAGGACTTCCTGCAGACATCATCACTCCTATGGTTTTCTTTCTTCTTTGGGGTGGTGGGGAAACACACCCAGTGGTGCCCAGGGCTTACTTCTGACTCTGTGCTCAGGGATCACTCCTGGTGTGTTCTGGGGGCTATATAAGGTTCTAGGAATAAAACACAAATGGGTTGCTTGCAAGGCAAGTGCCCCACTTGCTGTACTATTTGGCCCCTATTCCTACGGTGTTCAACTTGGAAAAATTTGTTAGCATATTTTTTCTTTGGGCTGGAATAATAGCTCAGCAGCAGGGCATTTGCCTTGCGTGCAACCAGCCCGGCCGGCCGAGCCGGGCTCGATTCCTCCGCCCCTCTCGGAGAGCCCGACAAGCTACCGAGAGTATCTCACCCGCACAGCAAAGCCGGGCAAGCTCCCCGTGACGTATTCAATATGCCAAACACAGTAACAAGTCTCAAAATGGAGACATTACTGGCCCACTCAAGCAAATCGATGAACAACGGGAGAACAGACAGTGATTTTTTCTTTGCTCTATATTTGTTTTTCTCCCCCTCCCCCTTCAATCTGTCATCTAGAGATTTGGGTGTTTCCCAAAGGGAGAATGCTTGGAGCTGGAACAATAGCACTACGGGTAGAGCGTTTGTCTAGCATGCGGCCAACCAGATTCAATTTCCAACATCCCATATGGTCCCCCAAGCACCACCAGGAGTAATTCCTGAGTGCATGACCCAGGAGTAACCCCTGTGCATCACCAGGTGTGACCCAGAAAGCCAAAAAAAAGGGGGGGGGAGAATGCTTTATGGATTCTAAGCATGTTTACAGAAAATAATTTTTTTCACCTTCACGTTTAATGCCAAAAAAATAAATATAAACTTTAATGCTACTTACTGATTATGCAGGTGATTTTATTGTTTTTTTTAGAATTCTCAATCATAATCCTCTAACAACTATTGAAGATTCATATCTTTTTAAACTGCCAGCATTAAAATATCTGTAAGTATTGTAATAGTTTTGTAGCTCAGATGATTTCTGCTATGATTTGCTGTCTTTATTTTTCTCCATTTTTGTCAAAGATTAAGTATTTTGCATTGAATTTTAAAATTATAATTTTTAATTTTAACACTGGATTATTGAAATGAGAGTTATTGTCAAAGGAAAAGATTAAGAAAGAATGTACATGGGTAACAGCCAACAGAAGAAAAGAGCAATGTTAAGTACATATAGATAAGAAACATACAGATGCATGTAGAAGTATTATTTCAGAAGGTAACGAGTAATAATGTACACTTCATTTCAAAAAGAAAGTAAGGAAAAGAGGATCAGCTAGGTCAGCGGTTGGAGCCCATGCACTGCGTGCTGAAGGTCTGGATTCAACCTCTGGCTCCTTATGTGTTCCCGGAGCTCTACTCAGAGTAACCCACAAGTACAGCGCCCAGCATATCCCCCAAGTACTGCCAGATGTGGCCAAAAATCCAAGGCCACCCCCAGCTCACATGAAAAAGAATCATTAAAAGAAGTAGATACAATTTAGAATGAGAAGTTGAACAAGATAGGAAGGAAGGAGAGAAGGAAGGAAAGAAGGAAGGAGGGAGGATATGTTGGATAGATGGATATGTTCTACAGTAAACAGTTGACCTGACTTTACAGCGAAGCCAGAATCAAAGCTATCGCCTCATTAATCTCATCTATTTAACTCTAGAAGTTCTGTATTTGGATTCACATCATGCTTGTGCTTTCTCCCTCAGAGACATGGGAGCAACACAAGTGTCACTTGGAACAGTCCAAAACATCCTCCTGAAGACTCTTGAATTGGAAAAACTGTAAGTTGATTTTCTGACATTTATTTTCACTTAGTTTTTCTAAGTCTTGCTTATTTTTTTAAAATTTTTTTTGTAGGAGTACTGCTATTTATTCAGCCATTGATTAAACTAATTGAATTTGGCATGAACTCCACATTACTTTTTTTTAATTTAGAATGTTAATTTTATTTATTTTTATTGAATCACTGAGATACAGTCACAAAGCTTCCCTGTTTGAGTTTCAGTCATACAATGATAGGACACCCAGCCCTCCACCAGTGCACATCTTCCACCACCAATGTCCCCAGATTCCCCCCCAATCACACTCCTCCCCCTCTCTCTATGGCAGACAATCTCCCCAATATTCTCTTTTGTATTGCTTGTTATGAATAGTATAAGATGTCGTGCAGGCAGAAGAGCAGCTGTGTGCTCCTGGAATTCTAAAATTGGAGAAATCTCTGCAGAGTGTTGCTCAGTTCAGAGATTCTTTTGTGTATTCTCGAGTTCGATTCCTCCACCCCTCTCGTAGAGCCCAGCAAGCTACTGAGAGTATCTCGCCCACATGGCAAAGCCTGGCAAGCTCCCTGTGACATATTTGATATGCCAAACACAGTAACAACAAAGTCTCACACTGGAGACGTTACTGGGCCCACTCGAGAAAATCGATGAACAATGGGAGGACAGTGACAGTGACAGTGGATCATGACAATTAAGGAGCTTAAGTGGCAGCCGGAGGCAGTTTGTGGGAATGAGTTCCAGAGTTCCACAGGGAGAGGGGGAGCGGTGAGAGGGACAGGCCCATCCCCTATCCCTTGAGACATGGAGATTGCTGTCACTGAACCTGCATACCTGCACTTCTCATTGGGTTCTGGAAGTTGGCGGCTTCTGGGGTTTTTAGGGGGCAGGTGGAGGGATGACGCCTGCCCCTGTCTGAGGCACCCCAGTGAAATTGTCCCGGCTCAAAGTCCAGAGGCATCTCTGCAGAGAGCTGCTCGGTTCAGAGATTCTTTTGTATATCTCTGGATCGTGGCCCTTGTTTCCATCTTTTCAAGAGAAATAAACTATTGGCATATGCCTTGCAGGGTATGCCTGTTTGCCTGTGCGGCACCTTGCCACCAGCCCGAACTGTGGTTTTTGATCTCTTTTGAGATTCATGGGTCTCTGAAATATGGCCAGTAAATGGGCTTATATTACTGAGCCAGACGTGGTTTGTGGGTGTGGCTCCCACATACCAAACTTTTGGCTGTTTCGCTGTATCACTGTCATCCTGTTGTTCATCGATTGCCTCGAGCAGGCCCCAGTAACGTCTCCTTCATCGTAGCCCTGAGATTTTAAGAAGTGCCACATTCAAGGCTCTCTCAAGGTCAGGAGAATGAGACCCATCATTGTTACTGGTTTTTGGCATATTGAATATGCCATGGGGAGTTTTCCAGATTCTGCCGTGTGGTCAGGATACTTTTGGTAGCCTGGTAGTTCTCCAGAGTAAGAACTAGATAATAAGATGTTGCGCGTCTGTATTTGCAGCCGCGCACTTCCGGGAGCAGGGTTTTATAGTCTCTAGGTCTTGACCGTTGATGGGATTACACGGCACCAGGGGCAGTTGGTGGGTGTAACACCTACATACTGGAAGATGGGGGATCTGAGTGGAGGAGGCCCCAGTCCCAATCAGAGCAGGCTTGGAGATGTACACCTTGGGTCCTGCACACCTGGGTTCCTCTGCCAGTTCCTTCATGCGTGAGGCTACTCCGAACGTGTGGAGAGCGGTCTTAAGCATGGCTGTGGCTGGAACCAGAGGTCTTCAGCTGTTTAATTTCTTGATAAACTTTAATTTCTTGGCCCTAAGTTGTTGGGGTTCGGTCAAAGGTACAGCATCAATTTTAGGGTATCAGGAAGCCAGAAGGTTCCATCTGGCTGCTGATGCACTCGTCCTGCAGGTAAAGGTTGACCTGCTGGCGGCATCATACCCCTGCTTGTTTATTTTTCTTAAGCTATCTTTAATTGAGGTGTAATTTTATTGTTTTTTAAATAGTTTTAAATTGAGATACTCAAGAATCACTTTTGGTGGGAGTATGGTGCCACCAGCAGGTCAGTCTGTATCTGTGAGGCGAGTGCATCAGCAGCCTGATGGCGCCTTCAGACTTCCAGATACCCCAAAATTGCTGCTGTGCCTTTGGCCAGACCCCAAAAACTTGGGGCAAAGTTTACCAAGAAAGTAAACGGCCAAAAGTTAGGTATGTGGGAGACACACCCACAAACCACTTCCGGCTCAGTTATATAATTGGAGGCAAGGCCTCTCTGGTTCCTGATTGAACTGCTTAATGGCCATGATCCCAGAGACTCAGAAACAAATCTCAAAACCCAGCAGCTTTTGGCAGAAATGCATCCGGACCGCACACTAGGTTACCGGTGTGGGGCCAACCCAGGTGGGAATAGGTTCTGTGCCTTGGCCTATTCCCCTTGCCGCCATCCTCCAGAGGCCACTGGACAGTCAGGTTTGGGCCCACAGTGACGAGACACGCAGGGCTTCATGGGATGGGAGTGGAGCTGGCCTTTTCCTCCCCTTCCCAACGAGACCCTGAGTCGCCGCCCATGTACGGCCTGTCTGGCTCCTGATCGAGCTGCTTAATGGCCATGATCCCAGAGATTCAGGAGCAAATCTCGGAACTCAGCAGGTTTTGGCAGAAATCCCTCCAGATTTAATTGTTAAAAATTCGGAATTTCAAAATTGCGCGGCCACTACTGCAGCTGCGCAACATCATATGTTATTCATAACCAGCAATAGAAAACAAATTGTCTACTGTTGCCTTTTCAGCAGATCTGAGTGTTGGGGTAAAATCCCAAATAATAATGGTAGGTCTGGTGTCAAAATATTGAATGTAATCAAAGTAGAGAGAGAGTAATGTGGATATCATCTACCCCACAGGTAGGGGGAGGGTGAGGGATGGGGGTATACTGGGGATTTTGGTGGTGGAGAATGGGCACTGGTGAAGGTATGGGTGTTTCATTGTATGACCGAGACTTAGACCCGAAAGCTTTGTAACTGCCCTCACAGTGATTCGATAAATAAAATTATAAAAAATGAAAAAAAAAACGTAAGGTGGAGTTCATGCCCAATTCAATCAGCTAATCAGTGGCTGAATAAATAGCAGTACTCCTACATAAAAAAAATCACTTTTGGTGTCTCATGGATGCTGGGGATCAAACCCAGGTTGATCATGTTCAAAGTAAATGCCATACCCGCTATACTATTACTCCAGTCTCTGTTTTTTATTTTTTTATAATCTGGAAAAGTGCTTTCAGATTTCCCCAGGTTATAGCTGGAATTTTTATCACTATCTTGGAGCTGGAGAGATAAGAGAGTGAGTTAGGTATTTGCCTTGCGTGTGGCTAACCCTTGTTCAGTTTTTGGCACTGTCTAAGGTTCCCCAAGTCCTGCAAGGAATGATCCCTGAGCCAAGAGCCCACAGCAACCCCTGAGCACCACTGGATATGACCAAAAAACAAAACTCAATTTTCTGAGGGCTGAAGTGATAGTAGAGGGATTAAGGTATACGCTGTGTGTTTATAACTTCCAGTTGGGTTCCCACAACAGAGTTAAAGCAACACCTCATCCATGTTTCTCAGGAATTTTTTGAATAGCTGCACATTGGCCTTGGCTGCCTCTCCTACCTATTTGAAGTAACCTCTTTACTCTGCACTTAATTCTCTGTGTTTCCATTCATAGGATCTTACCTAGTCGTCTAGCCTGCTGCCTCTGCCAATTTAAAAATACTATCGAGGTTGTCTGCAAGACAGTCAAACTACATTGTGACAGTGAATGTCCTACCAGTAGCACTCACTGTGGTGAGTCTGAATTTCCTGTTGATAGCTTTTTAATTTATGTTTCATTTTTATTTTAATCACTGATGGTACATTTTATACTGATCATATAGTTGCATTATTTTTATTCAGAGTTCAACTCTCTATATTTCTAAGAACTATTTCACTTGGGAAAAGTCAGAATCTCTGTCACATCGTTACCATATGGATGTCTTGAAGACTTAAGAGAAATGGAAGAAAGGGATGGAAGTGGGGAAAGGAGCTAACACGGTCACAAATGAGTGCCACACTCTGGGCAAGTTGCTGGTCCTCCCGATGAGAGCTCAGCCACAGAATGCAGTTTGCAAACAGATTTTATACACAACAAATCTCAAGCGCCCTTTTCTTTACAGTGCAGGTGTAGCTACTTTATTGCATGTGTTTTTGTAATTTTACAAGTCATACCGCCATATGAAAGTTTTGCTTAGAGCCTGGAATTTCTGTTTTTTTAAGCAGAGGTTGCCACTCAGTCCTTCTAATGATGGATGGGCTCGTGGATTCTTAGACTATCCCCATCTCTGGGCCTATTTTGAATTTTAACCCTTCCATCTACAAAGCACTCAGTTGCCCTTAAGTATCTTTCCACATAGTAAGTTTACTGACATCAGCTTGATAACTTCCAAAACGTGCTTTTAGGGGCAAGGAAAATAGATCAATAGGTTACAACAAATACTTTACATGTGGGAGGTGTTGGTTCAACCCCCTGCAAAACAGTTTCCCAAGCACTGCTGGGAGTATCCCTTGGGCACTGCTGAGTATGGTGCATGCACACATGCAAACGCGCACTCATACACACACGCACGCGTGCGCACACTCACCACCGAAAAAAGTGTTTTCATGCTGGGATATTATGAATCTGATTAGCTATCAGCAATTGGGCACATCAGATCACTTTGCTTCTTTCACGAAGATAGTGTTATTTTTAAAATCAACTTTTAGCAAGTCTTTAACTTCCTTCTCAAAGGTGGGCATAACAGTCATTTACGAATCACCTTTCATAAGATGAACATCAAACCTGGGGATTTGTTGGGGGTGGCAGGGTGAAGAGTCAGACTAGAGGAGATGTATGGACTGTGGTGTCTCGGCACTTCGGTGGTGGTCCAGGTGAAGTTCACTTTGTACATGGAAACCAATAGCATTGGTACTATTGTCACCATGTTACTCCAACTGCAATAATTTTATTTTAAAAATAACTAAAGCAAATAATCTAAATTCAGAATAAAATACTGATAGCATTTTTTTAGGTGAGGAAAAGCAGAACTAAAAGTGTTAAATGTGCCTAATGCCTAGATCATGTGTTCCCAGTCTGGGACTCTCTGCAAGTCCATGCTTCATCCTCACTTCCCTTAACTCCCTCTCTAAACTTCACCACCACCAAAAGCACTTTTAATTCTCAGTAAAGGTTGGTCTGAGAGATACTCTAGCACTTGCCTTACATACAACAGACCTGGGTTGGATCCCTAGCATCCCAGACAATCCCAATTATTACCAGCAGTGATCCCTGAGCACAGAGACAGAAGTAACCCCTGAACATTGCTGGGTTTTGCCACACTGCCTCCCCAAAAGAAACCCAACTGCACAATGTTATACTTGACCTTTAAGCAGTCAGAAACTTTGAATGGTTCCCTAAGTAGAGCTGGAAATAGTAGGAAGTAAGTGAAGGCAAAATATGCATCTAATAAGAGTTGTTTTTCCCAATTTTGGGAGCTCTAATATTATGTCAGGGGCCAGAGAGATAGTACAGTGGGTAGGGAACTTGCCTTTTACACAGATAACCTGGGTTCCATTGCCGGCATCCTATACGGTTTCCCAAGCACCACCAGGAGTGATTTCCTGAGCACAGAAGCAGGAGTAACTCCTGAGCATCACCAAGTGTAGCCCCCAAACAAAACAAAACAAAGTATTTTATAGATTTTCTCAACGTTGCCCATTAATATATACTGTGGCAAATCCATTAACCTATACTTAGATATCTGCCCAGATTCAACAATATGACACTAAGGGCTAATAAGCAAAAGTATTAGTGGGTAGATGGAGGAAGGGTACATTCAAATGAGGACCTGATTTCTGGAGTAATTTATTCGTTGTCTGTGACAGTAACAAGAATATTAGCACATGAAAGAGGTAGAGAGAAAAAGCCCTCTCTCTCCATCTGGGCAGGACAGGTTAAAGGTATGGGAGTATAAGAAATCATAGTCTAGGGGCTGGGGAGATGGTATAGTGGAGAGGGTGCTTGCCTTTTTTTTTTTTTTGCTTTTTTTTGGTCACTGGCAATGCACAGGGGTTACTCCTGGCTCTGGCAGTGCTCAGGGGACCATATAGGATGCTGGGATTTGAACCCAGGTTGGCCGCATGCCAGGCAAATGACCTACCTTCTGTGCTATCGCTCCAGTCCCAGGGTGCATGCCTTTCGTGCAGTCAGCCCAGGTTCAATTCCCAGCATCCAATGTGGTCCCCCAGGCACCACCTGGAATAATTTCTGAGAGCAGAACCAGGAGTAACCCCTGAGCATGGCTGAGAATGGCCAAAAAATAAAACAAAAGTCATAGTTGATCTGTAAAGAGTCTAACTGCGCAGCAAATATTTGTCCTGAAGACTGGGCACTTGGTCCTTGGGGACCAGTGGAATAATTGTATGATTATTGTTTGTGTGTTTGCTTGTTTGGGGGCATACTCAGAGGTGCTCAAAGTTTACTCCTGACTTTTGTTCAGGGGTCAGTCCTGGTAAGGCTTGAGGAGCATTTGGGGTGCTGGGGATCAGACCCAGGTTGGCTGCCTATAATACAAGTACTTTATCTGTTCTACTGTCACTCTGCCCCCAGTGGAATAATCCTAAATACATGTACTGAACTCCATGCCCTATTTATTCTGAATAAATAGTGATGGTCACTTTGTTTCTCCATTTGTTGTTGTCAATCATAGGTGTGAATTTAGGGTTTCCTGCACCCCCCCCAACATGGCACTTGTTTACTGATTACTAGTTTATTTGCCTGAAATTTATGTCTGTAGATGCTCCCAAAATTATCCCCAGTTATCTTTCATTATCAAAAGCAAACTCTTCCTTTTTGACAGATGAGGAAGAGTCTATCAGTAACACAGAAGGGGAGTTCATGAAGGTTTTACAGACCCGAAAGAAGATTACCAGCACAGAGCTGATCATTGAACCGGAGAAGCCCTCATCAGAGAGAAACAGCCTATCCCTTTTATTGAATGAGCAGTTAGACTTCAATGATGAGAGTGATATGCTTACTGGGCTAGATTACATAATGCCTTTTTTCCGGGATGGGAACATAGATGTTGAATCAACATTGCTACCCTTCATTAAGCTCCTTTTTAAAGATATGCAAGATGGAGCAAATCCTCTGGGTCATTTGAAGAACAGCACAGTTCCGATTTCTCTACAGCCCGAATCCAACAATTCAACATACAATAAGTTAAAAAGGCTCCATTTTCTAGAAAACTTGCTAAACACAGAAATTCAAGAAAAAATCCACAAAGCTAGAAAGAGAGAGAAAACTCCCATGCTGGTCCGTTCCAGTCTTTTGGGGCCCAAATTTAAACGCCAAATCTTTCCTAAGAAATTGAAAACTGTCGGGCCAAGGAGAAAAGGCTTAAGAAAGGTTCAGGAGGGGGAAAGGCAACCACTGCAAATGAGCAGCACGCTCAAGGATCCCGAGGGCCTCCAGAAATGGCACTTCAAAGCAGAGGGCAATCACCTCAGCCAAATGAAAGGGAAGGCTCGGCCCATGGCGGGGAACATTGCACAAGAAAAACGGCACAGGCAGCCGGCCCCAAGAGATCCAAAACAGTTTCCCTTGGTGGGGAGGCCCAGGAAATTGGTGGAAAACTCCTTCAATGAGGAGTCATCCTTCATTCAGGAGCACAAGGTGGCGGTCTCCACGCCCCTGAAACAGTACTCCATGGGCAGCCCGTCTACCGCCACTTCTTCAAAAGTCCCACTCCAGGTTAAAAACCAATCCAAAGACCTGAAAAAAACTCTGCTCGTCTTAGAGGACGCAGACGCTCGAGTTCGGAACATGAAGTTCCCCCGCCCCGTGCCACACATTGGAAAAAATTACCGCTTTCATAAATCTTACTCTCAGTTGGGCCGCAGAATGCCGAAAGCCAGAGTGAATACAGAGACAAGAGAATCAGCACCCAAGAGGCCAGTGCGGCCTCCTTTCGCTGCAATGAAGAGCCTCATCAACTCCCCGCCGCGAGAGGAGTCTCTGTCTGGGAGAGATGAGGACAAATCTTTGCCTGAATCATTTCTTCCTTCACACTCGTTTATGGAAAAGAAGACTACAGAAAGCACGCGTGCTCCAAACAGGGGGAACACCAGAAACATCACGCTGCCAGAGAAAACTGTCGGTATCCAAAGCACCGTCCCTGAGGAGGAAGCCGGGATGGGGGACAACCTAACTGTCAAACAATCCAACGAGATGCAGTGGGAATATCACAACATGGTCACGGACATCATCAACTCTACCACACAAAAGCCCGACCCCGGAGACCAACTTGAGGCACAACTCATCCAGAAGCTGCGGCCCCTTATCCCCAATAGTAATGTGAGGAAACTCATTGCTCATGTGATTCGGACTCTGAAAATGGACTGCTCCGATCCCCGGGTGCATCTAGCATGTGCCAAGCTCCTCTCCAGAACCGGCCTCCTGATGAAGCTTCTTAGTGAGCGACAGGAAGTAAAGGTGTCCAAGTCAGAATGGGATACAGACCAATGGAAGACTGAGAACTACATCAATGAGAATACCGAAGGCCAGGGTGAGCAGAAACAGTCAGAGGCAAGTGAGGTGAGCACAGACTTTTTTTTTTTTTAATGGAGTTTCATGCAGAGTGAAATAAGTCAGAAGAAGGACAGACATAGAATGATTGCACTCATTTATGGGATTAAAAAAAATTAAAACTTAGTATGAAATTAACACCCAAGGACAGTTAGAAACAAGGGCCAGGAAGAATGGTCCATGGTTGGAAGCCTGCCTCATGGGCTGGGAGAGAGGGCAGCTGGGATACAGAAGGGACCATTATGACAATGATGGTTGGAAGGGATCACTCTAGATGGGAGATGTGTGCTGAAAGTGGGTAAAGGATCAAACATGTTGGCCTCTCAGTATCTGCTTTGCAAATCATAATGACCAAAAGGGGGGGGCATGGAGTGAGAGGAGAAAGTAGGAGAGAGGAAGGAGGGAAGAAGGGGGAAAGGTGGGGGGGGGAGAAAGAGGGAAAAAGAGAGGAGGAGAGAGGAGAGAGAGAGAGAGAGAGAGAGAGAGAGAGAGAGAGAGAGAGAGAGTTCCTGCCATAGAGGCAGAGGTAGCCTGGGGACAGGGGGAGGTGGCAGGAGGGATACGGGGATATTGTTGGTGGGTAATGTACACTGGTGGAGGGATGAGTGTTGGAGCATTGTATGACTGAACCTGGATCACAATAAGGAAAGCTTTGCTACTGTATCTCATGGTAACCAGACTCGGGCTTCCAGGACTCTCAGCCTATGCCATGAAAGAACACAAGCAAGAAGACCAGGGTCTCTTGGCTCTCCCTCTCTTGCTCACTCGCTCTCTTTTTTGTTGGCACACAACTTTGACTACAATAATGATTGTTTCTGTGCTCGTTTATAGAAAGGTAGCACTGATCCTAGGAGAGGTAAGAAGAGGACCTAACACACCAGATAAATAAACTGTAGAAGGAAAGGCTACAGACGAGATGGAGTTGCAGATCTGGTGTGGTCTTTAAGAACATATTGGGGCCAAGGAGATAGTTCAACACGAGTGCCCCTGAACACTGAGCCAGCAGTAGCTCTGAGGACCCTAGATATAGGCTGAAAACAAAATCAAAACAACCCCAAAACATCACTGTATCACTGTATTACTGTCATCCCATTGATCATCAAATTACTCGAGAGGGCGCCAGTCACATCTCTATTCCTCCCAGCCCTGAAATTTTCTCAGCCTCTTCTTACTCATCTTTTCCCAATTATCAGAGGCTCTTTCAGGATCAGGAGAATGAGACCTATTGTCGTTACTGTATCAAATACACAATGGGGAGATTGCCAGGCTCTGCCCGTGCGGGACCCCAAAACATACAAAACAAAAACCTATAATCCACTCATTTTAGAGAATGGGGTTTTAGACAAGTATAAGAATAGTTAGCCATTCTTTAGAATGGTCTTAAGAATTCTTCCCATCGAACATAAAGTAACCAAATAGGAGACTAACACCCAAGAGTGGCTGAGATTAGTACCAGGAATTTTGCTCCATGACTTGGAGGCCAGCCACACATGCTAGGGGAAAAGGGAGCTCAGAGAAGGGAGCACCAAATAAAGGGTGTTGGGAGGATCCTCTGAGGATGAGAGAAGAATGCTGAAAGTAGACTATAGACCAGACATGATTGCCACTCAATGCCTCTTTTGCAAACCACAACACCTACAACGAGAGAGAGAACAAAAGAGAATGCCCTGCCACAGAGGCAGGGTGGGATGGGAGGGATGGGGGGTGGGAGAGATACTGGGACCCGTGGTGGTGGAAAATGGGCACTGGTGGAGGGATGGGTACTTGATCATCGTATAACTGAAACCCAAGCACAAAAATTTGTAAGTCTACAACTGTACCTCATGGTGTTTCACTAATAAAAATTTAAAAAAAAAGAATTCTTCCCATCTTTTTATCTAATTGTTTTTGGGGGTAAGGCATTTGCCTTGCATGCCACCAATCCGAGTTCTATCCCCAGCATCCCTTTTGTCTGCCAGGAGTGATTTTCAAGTGCAGAGTTAGGAGTAACCCCTGATCATCGCCAAGTGTGACTCCCCCAAAAAATAATGCATAAAAATAATTGTTCTTTTTTTTTCAGCTCACAAAAGAAGTTCCAGGATATGGCTATAACAACAAATTAATCTTGGCAATATCTGTGACTGTAGTCGTGATGCTATTGATTATAATTTTCTGTCTCATTGAGGTAAGAACAGTTCATTCAGACTTCCAGAATTTAATCTGTCTTAACAGATTCAGGGGCTACAAACGGAAAATAAAAGCCCCCTTTCTTCCTACTGGCACTTGATTTTCCTCTTCAGTCTTGAATAATGAGGTGTGCTTGCTTCTCATATTGCAAAGATGATCCCAGGGCTTGTTGAAGGAACCTTACTTTCAGGAGGTCCCTGCAGTAGTGAAACCAAAATAACAAGCTTTTAGAAAATTTTGAAAAGTTAAGATAAGAAGGGATTGGAGCGATAGCACAGTGGATAGGGCATTTGCCTTGCACGAGGCCAACACGGGTTTGATTCCTCCGCCCCAGTAGGCTACCAAGAGTATCCCGTCGGCATGGCAGAGCCTGGCAAGCTCCTCGTGACTTATTCACTATGCCAAAAACAGTAACAACAAGTCTCACAATGGGGACCCACTGAAGAAAATAGATGAACAATGGGTGCCCACTGAAGAAAGTAGATGAATAATGGGAGGACAGTGCTATACAATGCTAAGATAAGAAGGATAGAGCTGAAACAAAAAGAAGTCTTCCTGTGTGCTGTTTGGGGTCTACACCCTGCAGTATTCAGGGCCTGTCCCTGGCTCTCTGCGGAGGGGGAAGAGGGTGTCACTTCTGATGGTGCTCAGGGGACCTTGCAGAACTAGGGATCCAGCCTGGCCCTTCTGCGTGCAAAGCATGCACTCTGACCGTTCAGCTCTCTCTGGTCCCAATATAGACTTTTTTTTTAATTCAAAAATATTCAAAAAGATATACTCGCCACTCACTGACATTCTTCTACTGATTACTTTCCTTGTTGACTGGTAGAGTCTCCACCCTCCTGGAACCGAAAGATAAAGGTGTTATCTTGCTGATCCAATGCAGTAGCTCTCATTAGGTTTAAGCACCATCTCAGTACACGAAGTTAAAACACTACAGCTAAGATGGGAGAGAGCTGCAAGGGCTAGTTTTCATGCTTTGCGTGAGGGAGACCTGGATTCCACCCTTGGCATTACGTGGCCCCAAGAGCCACCAGGGCCACCAGGTGTTACTCTTAAACAGCAAGTTAAGTCATTCCTGCATATCACTGGGTGGCTCCCACACCAAACATACCAGCACTGCAGCCTGAGCCCGAGCTGGGCTTCTCTCAAACATGGCAGGCGTGCGGTAGTTACTCCAGGAGCTCGCCTTCTGTTCAATTACACACCACTGTCTCTTTCCAGCAGGCACACTAAAAAAGTGATTTAAGGATCAGGGAGATAACTCAAAAGACTAAACTCCAACTCACTTTTCACTTTGGAACCCCAGGTGCTAGCCATAGTGCTCTATGTTCCTTGAGTACCACCCCAGAAGTAGCCCCCACAAGCACCAACTGCTAGGGAGAGCCTTAAAAAATGAACAACAGCAAAATGTGATTGAAGGGGTTCAGGATATAGGTTAGTGGTATTGCACTTGTCTTGCATGTGTGAGGCCCTGGATTCAATCCCTGAACCCACCACAACCACCAACAAAGAATTAGAATAAATTAGAAGTGATGGTGCTGAGGAAGAGCTCTCTGGGTCTTTGATATATTTAAGCTGCTCGTTTGTGACATCACCAGCAAACACAGCACTGATTTATGCAAACCACAGTACAAAGAGTTTTCTATATGTTGTCTGGTTTAATCCTCGAAGACCTCTAAGGACGGCATTAGCATCCCTCCGTTTTTGCTGTTCTTGTTGTGCTGGGTACCGACCCCACGTCTCCTGCACGCCAGGCAGGCATTCTCCCACTGAGCTACCTCCCCAGCCCTAGCATCCTGCTTTCAAACATGGGGGTCACCTGCAAGGCAGCCCGTGCTCCTTATTCCACTGCTCAGTTTTATCTCCTTAAGGACAAAATCACAGAAATGCTGTGCATATGCTGCCCCAGCCCATGTGCTGCTTGCACCTATGTGGCCGAGCACATGTGGCAGCTGAGCACATGTGTCGCCCACATCTCCCCTCTTGAGATGTGTACTTTGATGCTTTCATGTCTAATGCTGGGATGTGCGTAGAGGCTCTCTCCACCCTTGGAGAAGCTCTCTCTCTCTCTCTCTCTCTCTCCCCCCCCCCCTCTCCACACCTTAACAACTCTCCAAATAAAATCTATTTATTTTGTTACTTTTTGGGTCACACCCGGCGATGCTCAGGGGTTACTCCTGGCTCATGCACTCAGGAATTGCTCCTGGCGGTGCTCAGGAGACCATATGGGGTGCTGGGAATCGAACCTGGGTCGGCCATGTTGGCTGCGTGCAAGGCAAACACTCTACCCGCTGTGCTATCACTCCAGTCCCAAAATCTATTTATTTTTTTTTTAAAAAAGAAAAAGAAATGCTTAAAGTATTGAAATTTCAGTCTAAGTCACTCAAAGAGTTGATATATTCATTTAGTTATTTATTTGGGCTCACAGTCATCTGTGCTCAGGGCTTATTCCTGGCTCTACTCTCAGGGATCACTCCCAGTGGAGCTTGGGGAACCATCTGGGCTCCTGGGATAGAATCTGGGTCAGCCACGTTCAAAGCAAGTGCCCCACCTACTGTATGATATCTATAGTCCCATGAATCAACATATCTCATAGAACTTTTTTTGTTTTTGGTTTGTTTGGGGAGGAATCATTGCAAATGCAACCAAGTTTTGTCTCCTGTAAGACTCGACTCTGCTCGCTGCATTGATGAGGACTCCTCATCGGGGATGAATAGTGGCGATGTGAAAGGCATCAGATTGGTTCTTGACATTGTTTAGAAAACATTGTTAAAAAGAATGTTTCTGTGTTTGGGATTTGGCAGATATTTTTAGTTTCCTACCTCATAGTTTTTTTTATTTGAATTTCTCTAAAACAGTGACTAAGCTGTATTCCTAACTGTGCCCCTTAAGTCATGTGCTGTAGGAGAGTCCAGGGACTATAAAACAGGAGAGAATTCCTATTCTCAAAAAGTGACATCAGTGGGTAGGTACGGCAAAACCAAGGGAATTGATAAGGTTTTACAGAGATCGGTCACCACGATAATCATGATCGTATTTTTTTTTCCCAAACAGATTTATTCTCATAGAGCAGAACAGTGTAAAGATGGAAGATCGAGGTAAATGTTAGTTTGACAACTTCATTTGCACTGGAGTGTCTTCCCCTGGTGCCTGGGGACCCTGGAGTCCTTTTGTGTGCTACTTTGCCCCATGACCTGGGCCTGAGTTCAGTGTTGGTGTCTTAGAACTCCACAAGGCCAGGCTGCTCAGTCCCCCTTTGTGGTGGCTGTTACCTGAGCCTGCCCACGTGTGCTCAGGGAGGCCATATGGTGCCAGGGTCCAAAGCTGGAGCCTCATGTCCAAAGGCCCTTCTAATTATCATTCCAGTAGCTCGGGGCTACTTCAGTCTCAGTGCTCAGCATGGTGCCAGGAATTGAACCCAGGCCCTCACACATGCAAGCCTAGTACTTTACCATGGAGCCACATCCCCCAACCTCTGTATCTTCCTCTTATAAGAAGGAATAGAGGGAAAATGGAAACTACCTTGCCCTTGGGGGCACACTGCTGGTGAGTGGGAAAGAGCATGGTTCGTGTCCCTTGGGACCTCTCCATTGATGACCTAAGTTCTTGAACTTGGAGCTGCATGACTCGTCATGGCTCCAGACCAGGGTACCCATGTAGTTGTCCGTCCTAACAAGACCAGAGACCTCCATCCTAGGAAGCATGGGAAATGGGGTGAATGACAAATGATGTTTGTCTGTGTTTTCCTCCAAGGACCTTCTTTGGATTATTGCTGCATAGAAGAAGTTCAATGGAACACGAGAGTCAGGTAACCATGGGGAGGAGTGGGCACCAAGGCAGGACAAGAGTGGGCCGGGGTGCAGGCTTACAAGCTCCCCTTGCCTTTTCCAGGAGGGCTTTTTCTGGCGAAGAAGGCCCCTGTGGCTGAGAGACATGTATCGGCCGCTCAATGCCACACGTAAGAAAAACATGGCACAGAAGCTACACGACAAGGATTCGTCTGATGAGGACGAGATGTTCAACAAAGATGCACGGTAAGTGATGGGGCCAGTTGCAATACCTGCCTGAAGTCAGGAAGCGATGCAGAGGGGGCACATCCCTTTCGAGAGCTGACTGTATCCTTCTTGTTCCAGGGAGCTCAGGGAGGCCGTAGTAGTGAAGACAGCAGAACTGACTCCTGAGGAGAAAGCAGCCAAGGAGACCAAGGGAGCACAGGAGACGCAGGAACCAAAGCGACCCCCACTTGTCCCACTGGCAAGGCAGACCAGCAAGACTCCACATGGCTCCCTGGCACCACAAGCACCCCCATCACGACAGTCCATCAGATCTTCACGGCCTCTCTCAAGACGACAGTCCATCAGTGCTCAGCAGACCCCCCATGCACGACAGTCCTTCAGATCCCTCCAAGAGACCCAGGAATCAGAGGAAATCTCAATGCAAATTGATGAGGAATCAGAGAAGTCATCAAAGAAGGGCATGGTGTCAGAGTCCTCACAGTGAACGCCTCCCGCCTCACACCACCTGGAAATTTTATTTTCTGAAGAGCCTCTCAGCAGTTCCTATAAAATTCTTCTTTTTCATATGTTAATTGCATAAATGAAGAACTGCAGCTATGGGCGTGGGAATTAAAGCCAAAAAGGTCATCGATTATGTGTGACCAACAAAGGCCATTGATATGTAACCAATAAAGGCCTTTGACAGGAAATGCATGACTGGAGCTGGAATCCCTCCCTGAGGTGGGGATGAGGTCCATGAGGAATAGATGGGATGGGAGGATGGGAGGCTGTCTCCTGTGCTCCCAGAATAATCGTTCCTGAAAAGCTGTTAAAGCCATCATCCTCAAGGAGGGATGAGTAGCACTGTAGCACTGTCTTCCCGTTGTTCATCGATTTGCTGGAGCGGGCACCAGTAATGTCTCCATTGTGAGACTTGTTTTTACTGTATTTGGCATACCAAATATGTCACAGGGAGCTTGCCAGGCTCTGTCGTGCGGACAGGATACTCTTGGTAGCTTGCCGGGCTCTCCGAGAGGGACGGAGGAATTGGACCCGGGTTGACTGTGTGCAAGGCAAACACTCTACTGGCTGTACTATCGCTCCAGCCCAGGGATGAGTATTATAGCAAATCACAACCAATCCTGTCGTTCTCTCCCAGGGTTCCCCAAGTGCCACAGCACTTAATGACAGCAGACTCAACTCCTACCCCTACTTAAGGTCACACTCTCGGGGCTCTTGAAATAACCAGAACTTTTGCAGTGTCTACCGCCACTGTTTTCCCAAGCTCTCAAACTTATTCCACACGTGCATGCCCTATCTTGGTATTGAAGGTTCTCCTCCCTTAAAATCTAGCAGAAAATTTGCATGGGGTTTTATTTATTTTTTGGCTTGTTTTTCTTTTAAAAACAAAACAAAAAACGCAGTTTTCAAGGCTGAAGAGAGAGCCCTTGCCTTACAGGTAACCGACCCGTGTGGAGTTCACCCTCAGCACCACCTCTGGTCCTCCAAGCCCAATTAGAAGTCGCCCCTGAATACAGAGCAATGAGCAGCCCCTGACCACCACCACATTGGGGACTTAGCCCCACATTACCAAAACCTGAACAAACCCAAATCCCTCAGTCCTCAGTGGCAGGATGTTGGGAGGCGCAGAGTAAAGATGAATGTGTGAGCAGTAGTTGACTAAGATGACCCTGTTCCACCTTGATGTCAGAAAACATTGGTGGAGGAACTGGAGTAATAGTTCAGTGGGGAGGGCACTTATTTTGCACACAAGTGACCTGGGTTTGATTCCTGACCCTACAATATGATCACCTGAACCTTGGCAGTAGTGATCCATGAGTACAGAGCCAGGAGTAAGACCTGGATAAGTGTGGCCCCAAAATACTTTAAAAAAAAAAGGGGGGGGCAAGAGCGATAGTACAGTGGGGGAGGGGGCACTTGCCTTGCATGCAGCTGACTTGGTTGGATCTCTGGCATCCCATATGGTCCCTGAGCATGGTAAGGAGTGACTCCTGAGTGCAGAGTCAGGAGAAACCCCTGAGCATCTCCAGGTGTGGCCCCAAAAACAAACATTGGTGCAGCCAGGTATTGTCCAAGGCTCTCCTGGGTCCACTGGGCTTATCCCAGTCGCATGCATTCACGCATTCCACCTTCTGTCCCACCTGAGATAGATCCATGGTAGCAAGAACCCCAGCAGCAGTGAAAGCAGCACAGATCTCCCTCTCCAAAAAAGATACTTATAACCTTTATATACTCAAAAAAATTCATCTTCGGGGGCTGGAACAATAGTACAGAGGGTAGGGGATTTACCTTGCACGCAGCTGACCGGATTCGATTCCCAACATCCCACATGGTCCCCCGAGCACTGCCAGGAATAATTCCTGAGTGCAGAGGCAGGAGTATCCCTTGTGTATCGCCAGGTGTGACCCCCCAAAAAAATCATCTTTGATACATCACCCTGTGCACTTGTAAGCCAGGAAAAGTTAAACACATTGAGGAAAATTAGCAGTGAGCCAGATTTGATCACCTACCTAAAGGAGCACAACATCAATGCTGACACACTAGTCATATGAAATGAGTGCAGTGTGAGGAGCCTGGGGCCTGCACGTTCTGCGGTTCAGTGTGCTGAGTGGAGTGAATTGCCCATCACTTCCTTGTCAGGCCACTCAGTTTGTGAATGCAGAGCAAGTCACAGCTGTTCGCTAGACAGTCAGTGCTTAAGTACTCAATCTCACACATCCAAGACCATGAGATGGGGTTTCACTCCGAAGACTCCAAATCCTCACCCCACCCTGCAGGGAAGGATAAGTTGGGGCTGCTATCAAAGGTCACACAAGCTGCAGAGATTGCCTTCACTGGCTGAGCACAGGGTCTGCATTCTGGTGACCGAGATTCGATCCACAGCACCTCATGGTCCCAGAAGCACTGTCAGGAGTAACCAGTTTCCCAAGAGACCTGAGAGTGATCTCCACTCCCCACCCCGAAAAAAAAAAGGGTCCACAGTACTGATGATTTATTAGTATTTTTATTATATGTCAGGGAGGTTATTCTGTGTCTCTCCTCCTGACTTCATCTGTCCTGATACTCTCCGGATCTATCCACATAGCAGCAGATTACATGCTATCATCTTTTCTTAGAGCTGAGTAGTATTCCACTTCTGTCGATGTACCTTTGAAGATAAAAGACAGTTTCTTTAACCAGTCCACTCTTCTTGAACATTTGGGTCGGTTCTAGATTTTGGCTACTGTGCATAGTGCTGCAAAGACAGGAAGGGTGTAAATGTCTTGGGTCTTTGGGACAGATGCCAAGCAGTTCGCTATAAAAAATCGCCGCGGGCGCTCAGGGCGCGCTCCGGATATAAGGAGTAGGGAAAACACGTTTTCCCAGAGAGCCCCCAGGGCAGAAAGGTCCTTGAGCTCTGTTGGTTCCCAGCGCCAACGTCCTGGGAAAGCAAAGACAGGCGGCTTCACAAGTGGGCAAGCTTCACTCACGGAAGCCGAGAGGACCCCATCGTTACGCAGAAGATGGCCGGCAACGGCACGTCGCCAGTAGGATCTAGTCCCACGGGGACACCTGTGGCAGAGGGCAAGCCCCGCTGGGGGGCAGGTCTGCAGCCTCCTCTGGAACCTAAGGCGAAGCGCCAACCCGCTGGCCCCGCCCCCAATCTCTTTGGGGCTCCGCGATTGGGCCGTCGCCTGGGGGCGTGGCCCGACGTCCAGGCGACGTGCTTGCGTCATCGCCGCCGGCGCTGCTTCCTGTTGTCAGGGGCCGGGAGGCCGCCGCCGCGTCGGGAGCGAAGCTGAGGCGCTGCCGCGGCCCTGAGCGCCCCTCACCGCTCCCGGCTCGCTGTGGTGAGTGACGGCTAAGGGGACGAGGAGGGGGGAAGCGCTGCAGCGGCGGGGCAGCCCCGCGGAGCCCCCCGGGCGCCCGCCCCGAGCCGGGCGTCTGCCAGCCCCTTCTCCACACGAGCCCGCGAGCCGGACCCCGGCCCGCCCCCGCCCCGCCTTGCGCATCCTCACCCGCGACCCCGGGGCCCGCCCTCGCCGCTCTGCCCCTCGCGGGCTCGGCTCCCTTAGCCCAGTTTCCCTCAGGTCCCTGCAGTGCCCCCCGAGGCCCTCCCCGGGGACCCGGGTTCGATCCCCTGCGGCATCGCATATGGGATTCCTGAGTGCCGAGCGCGGGGCTGAGCCCTGAGCACTGCCGGGTGTCGCCCTCACAGCAGCCAAAAACCAAGGTCCCCTCCGCCAGTCCCCCCACCCCACCCGCGCTGACCCCCGTGTTTACCAGCACAGCCAAGGTGAGTGGCTGGTGGAGCCCAGCGCTTCGTGACAACCTGGATCCAGCCCTGAAATGTGCCCGAGCTCAGCGCCTCACCCCCGTGTCCTCCCGGTCCTCCTGGGCCGCCCATCTCCGCTTCCTCATCCGCCTCATGACAAACCCAGCAGGGTCCTCGCACTCTGCCCGCGGCCTCAGCTCCGCACTCATTGCCCGTTGACCCAGTCCCCGTGTGGTCTGAGAAGGGTCAGAGTTCTCCGCCAACCCCCGTCACTGCCCCCAGCAGCCAAATATAGACGCGTGCGCACAGCCTGGCAGTTAAGGGGCGGCTAGACTGGCCCCGGAGGGGGCTCCCGTGGTCAGCTAGCTTGGGGGACATGGCAGTTAAGGGGGGTGTCCGGACTGCCCCCCGCCAGGGGCGTCAGTGGTGGGCTAGCTGGGGGGCTGCTTCTGCTGCGTGGCCAGGGTTTCTCCTCACCTTCTGTTCCCCTGGGGTTTGTGTGTCCAGCACTGGTGTTGGATTCCCTGTGCTGGCCACCTGCCTGGTAGGCATTGGCCAAGTCCCTGAAGGTGAGTGCTGGTGCCTCAGTCACTCCCTCCACTGCAGTGGTGGGAACCAGCCCTTCCTTCCCCGGTGCTGGCCTGGGGATGTGGAGAGTGCCACGGTGTGGTCGCAGAACGCTGTGTGAGTTGTCCTGGCACATGTTAAGGCTCCGCACCCTGTGCTCCCCCAGCCAGAGCTGTTTGCTGGTCAGTCCCAACAACCACCCGAGAGCATTTGGCAATGAGTCTTGTAGTTAGGGGAGTGGGTAAGTGGGTCCTGGGGAGGCTACTGCCAGGGTGGGCACAGGAGCTGTCAAACTTATGTCTTCTTTCTGCAGGTGCCAGATCATTGACTTTTGACCATTTGGGACACTCCTGAACCCAAGGAACAGACCTCAGAGCAGCACACACATTTACCCCATGCGTGGTGGGTGCACATTCCCTCCACGTTCTCTTGACTGGTCAGCAGAGAGTTGGTCATTTCACAGCTGTTGATAAGGACCCCAAGGAGAACCCGTCATCTCTGTGCTGATTCTTCGAGTCTCATTCCTTTGAGACTCCTTTAGGTGCCTTCAGGATCCCCCTCCTTGAGGTGCCAGGACTGGTTTTCACCTTCTGCAGCTGGGTTTAATGGGGGGTGCTCTCCAGAGGCTCCTCTGCTGAAGTGTGTCTTCACTTTCCTTTCTCGGTGACTGGAGACACCTGCCCCATTCCCCATGCCTCTATCGATACGTGTGATGCTGAACATCGAACCCCTGCTCTGTGTGCAAGGCCTTTCTCCACCATGAGCTATCTGTGACTTGCCCTTGTTTTTACTTTATTTATCACTTCATTCAGCAGGTGTTTTCTGGGTTCTAGTGTGTGCCACCCACACACTGTTCTGGGCCCTAGAGGTGCACTGGTGGATGAATCTTGGGGAGGGGAAGTTCCTGTTTTCATTCAGAGTCCTAAGGAACATGAGAGAAGAGTGTGAGAGAAAAAGGGTGTTCTTGGCTGGATGGAAGGAAAGAATATTTTCACCCAGTGTGTCCCAGCCTCCCTGTCCTTGCCTCCCGCATCCCAAGCTTAGTCTGGGAATCATACAGTGGAAGTTTCTCACCCTGCACTTGGTTCCTTCAAAGGCTCAGTTCCCGTTCTCTCTCTCTCTCTCTCTCTCTCTCTCTCTCTCTCTCTCTCTCTCTCTCTCTCTCTCTCTCCCTCCCTCTCTCTCCCTCCTCACACACATACCCCCTCCCCTTTCTCTCTTTCTCTCTCTACCTCTCTCTCCCCCCATTCTGTCCCTCACAAGACATTTGTGCAGAAATCCAGCTTGGCTCAGGTGCAAAGAGGTGCTGTTTACTCATTGAGCACCCATGTCTGAAAAGTCAGCTGCCCTTCTGAGTCAAAAGATAACCTTGTCATGCTTCTTCCAACAGCAAACTTTGCCATGCTTCCCCAGCTGCAGAACATGATTCATCAGGTGGCACCACCGCTGCATGGCTGAGTCGTCAGTCTATTGTTCCCCACGGCCCAGTACAGGACTGGGTTCAGGCCCCAGAGCGCTGGCCAGCAGGGATGGCTGAGAAGTCTCTCAGGAGCAGAGATTGCTGTTTTCTCCTGGACGAAGTGTTTTGAAAGTAGGGAAGCCAGCTCATGCGTTTCTTCTTTCAATGTAAGCCTCTTCTAAGCCACTCACTTCGTTCTTTGATCTCAGCAGGCTGGGTGGGGGGAGAGTGAAAATGGAAATTGGACAAGTGAAATTGGAAGTGTATAGAGAAAGCAGTAGAATATAAAGGGGGAAATGAAACTGAAAACCAAAACAACATAAGGCAGTTTTCCTAGCTGTGTGCTGGAACGTGGGAGCTAACTGGAGTCGCTGGCCCTTGAGCAGTGTGGTTTCTCTGGACTTTTCTAACCAAATGGAGCATCTGCCTATCTCCTAAAGGCCTCATTAATAAGTTGCCATTAATACTTTGATTTAAAGACCCATGACAGTGGTTTGGTGAGAAGTGTAGGACTTGGGGTAAGAGACCAGAGAATTCTGTGTCTTCTCTGGGCCCATTCCTACTGAACCTCCGTTTTCTCTGTGAAACTGGACGACCATTGTTCTGTCTCAGAGTTGTGAACGTTGAGTGAGTTTAGAGAATGCGTTCAGAGAAGCTTGAAGCATCTTACAGGGGTGAATCAGTACCCAGGGAGAGGTAGACTTAGCGTGACTTGGGCTTCTGTAAGGATATGTCATCTTTCTGCCAAGCTCCATGATCTCCCTTTTCTCTTTTCAGTCCCATGTTTCTTGGGAGCTCTGCCTTGCTCCATTGGCTCTTTTATTTTGTTCTTGGTTATTTTGGGCCATATCTAGCAGTGCTCAGGGCTTATTCCTGGCTTTGTGCTCAGGGATCACTCGAGGCAGGACTAAGATGATCATATGGGGTGCTGGGGATCAAACCTGGTTTTGCCCTGTGCAAGGCAAGCACCCTCCCCACTATATCATCACTCTGGCTCTAATTTGGTTCCTGAGTTGCAGCGTCTTAGGCCTCTTTGGGGATCGCCACAGGGCTGCTCCCTGCTTGCTCTGTGCTGTGTTTTCTGGTGTTCCTGACACTGTTTGCAGTGATGGTTACTTGTCTCCTGTCTGACCTCTCAGAGGAGCTTGCTCAGTTCACCTGATGTTATTTGACCATGCACCTGTGCATCAGCGAACGAGTGAGCCACAAGGGACCCAGGCTGTCATTCAGATGGTGGCAGTTGGAGTCTTCTGGCACCTGGCATTGTGACTGGCTGAGGGCCCCTTTGGGATTCAGAACAGGGCTGGTGGGCTGAGCCTCCAGTGTGGCTGAAAGGAATTGGAGCCCAAGGTCTGGGAACCAGAGAGGCCAGCCCTAACTTCCAGGGGGAACGCTGACCAGAGATACCACACTTTTCCTGATGCTCTGGTGTCCAAAGTGGGAGCTGCCCTGGCCGTACTCAGAGCCCCTGGGGAGTGGGTTTGCCACAGCACGCCAGTGTGCCCAGCTAGCTCGTGGCAAATTGAGATTCAAGCAGTGCTGGTGCCCCATGCTGCTCAAGCAGGCAGGCCCAGGAGGCAGGTGGCAGCAGGAGAGTCCTTCCCACCCTCCCTGTCAAACTGTGTCACCTATACTTTTCTTTGTCTCTCTCTCTTTTCTTGGTGGGGGTTGGTGGCACACCTGGCGGTGATCACGTGCAGGAGTATGGGAGCACTGTCACTCCTGCCATGCTGAGGAAGGAACCCGTCACTCCTGCCTGCATGTGAAGCCACTCGGCATGTGGAGCCTCTCTCTGGCCCCGAGCACTTGTTCTCTTCACTGACAAGTCTGCAGACACATGCCTGACCTTGAAGCTGGGGGTGTGAGCGGTTGCAGGGCCCATGGAATGTGAGCCCCTGCTTCCGGTCCCTACAGGTTGTTGGCATCTTCAGCTACAACATCCTCTGGGACCCTCTGCTCTCCCACTCATTTTCTTTTTTTTTTTCTGTTTTGTTGTTTTCAACACACCCAGCAGTGCTACTGTACCAAGGGTAGGGGGCAGGCCATTTGTCTCGTATGCAAGAAGACCCAACCCAGCACTGCCTATGGTCCCCTAAAGCCAACCAGGAGTGATCTCTGAACACAGAGCCAGAAGTAAGCCCTGAGCACATCCAGGTGTGACCTGAAAACACTTGATCACTTGACTTCCCATTAATGGTCGATTTGCTCGAGCGGGCGCCAGTAACATCTCCATTTGTCCCTATCGCGTGCTAGTGTAGCCCAATGGCATCTGTTCGTTCTAGGAACACAAAGAGCCTCAGACTGATCGTTCATGATCTTGATGAAGAAGTCTGACCATCTGATAGGTGGGCGGCCACGTGGTCTTTTGACGTCCCCTGGAATCCAGTCGGTAACGGGTCTAGTCCAGCAGTCATCTCTAAATCTCATTACATATCCAGCCCCTCTGATTTTTGACGCCTTGGCAAAAGAGACAGCATCCCTGATTCTTGATCTTCAACGGAGATCGGAACTCCAGATTCTTTCTCCCATTTGAGTGAAACGTGATATTCCAAGCATAGCTCTTTCAGTTCCTCTTTGGGAGACCCGAATAGCGTTCTCATCCTGTTTGCGTAGGGCCCAGGTCTCTGAGGCGTATGTTAATGCAGGAAGAACCATGGAATCAAAGAGATGTGTCCGGAGCCGGAGGTTCTTCGTCCTCTTAGCTATTTCTTCGCCGCTCTTGAAGGCATTCCAAGCCACTCTCTTCCTCCTGTGCAACTCAGGTGCCAGGTCACTCATCATGTTGACTTCTTGACCTAAGTACACATAAAACTGTTGCATTCGGAGATGGTCGTTCCGTTGAGAGCGAATGGAGCGTCAGGAACAAGGCTGTTTCTCATAAACATTGTCTTCGTAAGATTCAGCTGAAAACAAAAGAATAAGAACAAAGACCTGAAAACAAAAGAATAAAAAAAGACCAAAACCCAGAAAGAGCCGCTGTTTCTGTCTGTAGCTCAGGGATGCACTGAACCTGAAGTACTGTCTCCTGCTCTTTTTTTTTTTTTTAACCTTGGGTTGAAAGGCCTTGCGTCTGCCATTTGAACGCTATAACAACCTGCCTTTGCTGTGGGGGGTTGCTGGGGGAGGGAGGGCAGGGACCAGAACCTGACCAGAGCCCTGACCTTGTTCATGTGACCGCCCTGTGTCTCCCCAGGTGTCATGTGATCCTTGGAGAGCTGCAGCCAGGGTGGAGATGCTCTCGGTGGTGGAGAATGGACTGGACCCCCGGGCGGCCATCCCGGTAAGGTGGCCAGGGCAAACAGGGTGGGACAGGAGATGTGGGACAGCCATCGCAAGGCTTTGGCGCACGTGGAAAGGAATGGACATCACGTGGAAGGGAGACCGGACCGAGGGACAGTTGAGCATCAGCAGCTCCCGGGGTTTCCTTCCTACTTTAGAGGATGTGACTGGGGATCAAAGGGAAATATCAGTATTGTGGGGGTTCAGGGAAGTCCCCTGAAAGATTTTCAGTGAGGCTGCTGCCCTGGGGCTTCCTGATGGGTCTGGACACCACAGGGTCAGAACCCACATCCTAGTCACCCATGTGGTTGGCTGATGGGGTAGCTTCTGTCTTTGTTTACTGTGTTTTCTGATTTTTCCAAGTATGAGTGTTTATGACTCAGCTCCTTCTTGCCCGTTTGTAAGGGGACCCATTGGTGGCTGTGGGCCTGAGTTCTCCTGGCTACTCCATGGGCCCAGCTGTCCCTGGGAGAGGCAGGGTGTAAGAATGATGTTTGGATTGTCTGGCAGCAAAATTCTGAGGTGTCTTTCTGGGAGAAGCTGAGCTTTCTTTCCCACCTTGCTGATATTCAATTATTCTGAGAACTTTCTGCCGGCAAAGAGCTGCGAGCTTCAGTTGTGCCTTCTCGCCTCCTGGCCACTTTGGCATCCAGCCTATAGGCTGGCTCTCCAGGAAGGCCCTTCCCTACACAGCCTTCCAGGACCCCACAGAGCTAGGGCAGAGCTGCTGGCTGACTCTGCATCCTGACAAGGACTGAGTCCTTAAGCAGTAGGTTTCTGGTGGGTATGTGCCTTAGTCGTCTCTTACTACCCTATCCCGTAGACGTTCAGCTGAATTTGTACCTTTGTACCTTTGTACATTTGTACCTTTGTTTGGTTTTGTTTTGGTGCTCATGGCTTACTGAGCTTAATTCTAGCTTTGCATTCAGGGGATCACCCCTGGCAGGCTCAAGGCTCATAGGGGGTACCAGTTGTTGAACCCAAGTCAGCTGTTTATAAGACAAGCACTTACCCACTGTATTATCACTCTGACCCCTGTTTGTACCTTGTATATAATATAGTAATATTATCTGACATAGAAAGAACATTTAAAGTTGGACTTCCATAAAGATTTAAAACCTTTATGGGGGTGGGGGGGAGTATTGGGCACCAGCAGTGCTCAGGGTTCATTCCCGGCTCTGTGCTCAGTAATCACTCCTTGCAGTGTTTGGTGGCCCATATGTGGTACAGGCAAATAGAATTGGAGTCAGCCACATGGAAGGCAAGTGCCATAACCCCCATACTGTTTCTCTGGCCCAATACCAAAACCCTTAAAGGGTCTAATAGCCAGAATTTAAAAAGACCTTTTATACTTCAGGAATAAAAAGTAGACCCAGTTAAAAATAAAGGACTTAGGGGCTGGAGCAATAGCACAGCAGGTAGGGCGTTTGCCTTGCTCGCGGCCGACCGGATTTAATTCCCAGCATCCCATATGGTCCCCTGAGCACCGCCAGGAGTAATTCCTGAGTGCAAATCCAGGAGTAACCTCTGAGCATTGCCGGGTGTGACCCAAAAAGCAAAATAAATAAATAAATAAATAAAGGACTTAAAGTCATGTTTCTCAAGGTAACACATTAAAATAGTAAGTACATACATGGTATGACATGTACTCTTCTGAAATATACAGTTCAGTGGTTTTTAGTTTATTCACACAACTGTGCCACCCACTGTTGCCACAATCTAATTTTAGAATGTTCGCACCCCCTTGAAAGAAGTACTGCAGCACCCAGTAGCAGTTCCTCCTGTTCCCTTTTCTCCAGGGCTCTGGCAGCCATGCAGATGTTTTCTATTTCTATGGATATTCCAGTTCTAGATATCTCATGTAAATTAATTCATGCATCATGGAGCCGTTTGTAATGTTCTTCATGCTTAGCCCAGAGATGCCAGCAGGTCACCATGGCAACATTTCAGGTTATTCCAAACCAGCTTGCCCAGGGGGCCATTCGGTATCGGCACTTACTTAAACTATCTCCTCCTGCCCTCCTTCCGGTTTGTTTATTCTTGATTTCCAGGCCACAGCCAGCAGTGCTCAAAGTTCATGAGATACTCCGAAGACTGGCAGTGCTCAGGGTTTATGCAGTAATGGGGATCGAATCTAAGTCCCCCACATGCAAAGCTGTTGAGCCATCATTTCTGCTCCAGTTAATTTATTCTTTCAACAAACACTTACTGAGCACTTCCATGACCAGGAACTGTGCCAAATGAGGAGGACACAAAAGTACATTTTAAAAAATCCAGACTTGTTCTCAGTGTAGTGATCTCAGTGCTATAAATGAGGAAGTTTATTTCCATCGGATAGAATTTGGGACTCAGGAACCTGAAATGTCTAGGTGCCCCAAATGGTGACAGACACAGAGCCGGACTAAATTCAGACCTCTGCGGAGTCTCACATCTTTCTCCCTCTTGGGTGGGAGTGAGGCTTCTAGCAGTGCTGCTCTTCACCAGCGGTGTGCCAGATTTCCTGCATGTGGTGTAGAGTATTGATTGCCAGGCACTGTACATGCCAGGTATCATATGCTCAGCCCTTTGAAGATTTCCAAAGCCCTAGAATCCTTTTTAGTTTATGGTTTGGGCCTGGTAGCATCTGGTAGATGCTCAGGACTTACTCCTGCCTCTGTACTCAGGAATCACTCCTGCAGAGCTCAGGGTACCATATGTGGTGCTGGGGATCAAGCCCAGGTCAGATGCATGCAAGGCAAGTGCCAGCCCTGCTGTGTTACTGATCTGGTCCCTAGACTCTTTCTTACCGTAGAAAGATATGCCTGTCTTTCTGTTGTTTTCTGGCTCTAAGGCAGCACTTTTTCTTCTTACTGATGCTCTGCAGTCTTGGTCTTGCATCAGGTGGATAGCTCAGCCCTGCCTTAGAGGCATTCCCCAGGCTCCTGAACAGTCCCTCTGAGGGATTCTACCTCTGAATCCCAGTTACATGTGGTTCTTAGCCCATGTTTCAGAAATAGAGAAGCTGGCGAGGGAGAGAGCTTCAGTGGCAAAGATCTTCTCTAGCATGTGTGCAAGGCCCTGATTTTGAGCCTAGTCACTGTAACCCCAAAGCATTTTCAGGCACACCCAGCAGTGTATAGCAGGAATAGCTTCTGTTTAAGAAAAAGATACACCAGGGGCTATAGGTGGTCCAGTGGCTTTAAGCCTGAATGAGGCCACAAGTCCATGAGGCCACAAGTCCAAACCCTGGTGCCAATACACGTGCTGAAGTCATCCTGGCAACCCCTTTTCTGGAAGCTTTGGTGAGAGGAACCATAAAAATGATTCTGTTGAGTAATTTTTGGTAGGGCCACACAGGTGCTGCTCGAGGGCTATTCCCAGCTGGGAGTGGCAGGTAGGTGTAGGGACCTACTCCTGGTGGTGCTCAGCTGGACCCAAGCCTCCTGCTTGTAAAGCTTATGCCCCTCCTGTTGCACAGGTCCCCAGCCCTTGAGCAGTTTTCTTTTAATTGATACTTGGGACCAGGAGATAATATAGCAGGGCACACTCCTAGCATGCACCTGACCCAGGCTTGATCCCTAGCACCACTTGGCCCCTTAACATCGCTGGGCATGGCCCTCGTGGCCCCCAGACTCTAGGTGACCCAGATAATGCCCAGCACTGCAGAGCCTGAATAGCACATTCCCTTAGGCCCTTGCATTGAACTGCCATCCCAGTCACCGAGAGTCTCTGAAGGGGCTCTTGTGACTCTTGAAATCTGCATCCCCTATCCTGTTTCCAAAAAAGGAGGTATGGAAATGTTATTGAAAAACAAACAAACAAACAAACAGCAGGTTCCTCTGAGTGGTTTGTATTTGTTATTTTCTTTCTCTGTGCCTCTTCCTCTAAGTGTCAGCTGGTGCTGGTTCGGCAGGACAAAGCGTTGGTGTGGGTGTGTCCCATCCCATATTTGGTGGAGGGCAGAGTTGCATTCTAAGGGGTGCCATCAACCGGGTGTTTGTCTGCGCCACCCTCCAGGTCATCAAGAAGAAGCTTGTGGGCTCCGTGAAGGCCTTGCAGAAGCAGTATGTGTCCACGGACACAGTGGTGACGAGTGAGGATGCCGACGCCAACACCGTGTGCAGTGCCCTGGAGGCCGTGTTCATCCATGGTCTGCACACCAAGCACATCCGCGCCGAGGCTGGAGGCAAAAGGAAGAAGCATGCCCAGCAGAAGCCCTTGCCACAGCCTACCTTCTGGCCCCTCCTGAAAGCCGTCACACACAAGTGAGCTTTGGCTTTGGGGAGGTGCTGCACAGATGGGGTGGGGGTGGGGGCATAACTGTGCGGGGAAAGCCCCAGCAGTGTCGTGTTCTAGAGCATACAGGGGACTCTTACACTCTTTCCACTCACTCACTGCCCATCTTGGCTTCTGAAATGCTACCCTGGGCAAGTGCTGTCAAAAGCATCTCAGGTTCCGGAGGAGCTTGATTTTGAATTAGTGTTTCCTGGGCTGGAAAGAAAGTATAGTGGGGAGAGTACTTGCCTCGCACATGGCCAACCCAAGTTTGATCCCCAGCACCCTCTACAGTTCCCCCAAGCCCTGCCAGGAATGATCCTGAGCTCAGTGATCCAGGAGTCAGCCCTGGGCATCACCAGGTGAGGCCCAAAATAATAACTTTTCTGTGGTCCACATGCTCACAACCTTCACAGTCAGTTACCATAAGTTACCTTATGGGCTCGTGAGCCGCAGTCTGAGAAGCTGGGAGCCAGCACAGAGGATGCAGTGTGGGGGCTGCTGATAAGCCTGGCCTCCCACTGGGGTGACCTGTTTGGTCTGTTTGCTTTGTTGGTCAGTGCAGGGCTGTGCTTATGCAAGTCATGCTGCAGCCCAGGGTGCCCTCAGGCTTGTGAACGGACCTTTGAGCCTCTCACCACTGAGCATCACCACGCCTAGACGCCTCCAGCCTCAGCCCTCTCCTTTGACTGCAGCTGCTCGATCCCCTGCTTTGGACCTTTTAGCTGAAAAAGCCCTTTTGGTTTTAAGTTGGGGCCATACCCAGACACACAGCCCACAGTGTAGGGCTCCCTGCGACCTAGCAGCACCAAGAACCCAGGGAGTAAGGGACAAGCAGGACTCAGGATAGAACTCCGGCCTGCACGTTAATCTTCGGACTGCCTCTCTGCCTCTCAGAACAGCCTTTCTTCTACCCGTAGTTGAGGGTTGCGGCTGAGTGACCTGCAGATCCCGAAGGCTTGGGTTTTCTGCCCCTTCCTGGAAGTTGCCGGCCTGCCATGGCACACAGGCACCTGGGCCTGAGTGTCTGTGTGTGGAATACCATGCTCACCATGCTTCCCTGCTTAGATCTGGAGGGCCTGCATGGTGCCTTTCTGGGATATTCAATTCCTCCCTCTGCGGGTGGGTGTCAGGTGGAAAGATCATCTTCCTTTCCCTGCCCACAGACACCACCTTTTCATTTTTTTTGTTTTGTTTTGTTTCGTTTTGCGGTCACACCTGGGTTTGCTCAGGGCTGACTCCTGGCTCTATGCTCAGGGATCATTCCTAGCAGGGCTCGGAGAACCCTGTGTGGTACCAGGGATCCAACCAGCTTGGCCACATGCAAGGCAAGCAAGCGTCCTACCCACTTGTACTCTGGTCCAGGCCACACAACTACCTCCTTATCTTAGGCTCTTACCCTAGCCTGGGCCCCCCCACCCCTCCCCGCTCCTGGAGGATAATAGTTTTCTAACTATTCCCCTTATCTCGCCTCGCCCTTCCTTACTGCTGTCAGCTGATCCCATTTCCTAAGCATGTAGGTTGGAGTTCAACTGCTGAGTCATGTCTGTGCCCCCAGTGCTCTGGAAGGGGCAGGGGGAGTATACCTTAGCTTCGAGCAGGGCACTGATGTTCATCAACTGTCCCCCTCCGCCCCCCATTTTCAGACACACCATCTCTGAACTGGAGCACCTGATCTTCGTGAGCACAGACGTGGGCCGTTGCCGGGCCTGGCTGCGCCTAGCCCTCAATGATGGTCTGATGGAGTGCTACCTGAAGCTGCTTCTCCAGGAGCAGGCCCGGCTGTGCGAGTACTACCAGCCCACTGCCCTGCTTCGAGATGCCGAGGAGGGCGAGTTCCTCCTGAGCCTGCTGCAGGGACTCACATCCTTGTCCTTCGACCTCTCCTACAAGTCCGCCATCTTGAATGAGTGGACGCTCACCCCGCTGGCCCTCTCCGGGCTTTGTTCATTCCCTGAGCTCGACCTTCTCACTACCTCAGGTACTGAGCTGCAGCGGAAGGAGTCTCTGGACTCCATCTCCCACTCCTCAGGCTCTGAGGACATTGAAGTCCATCACTCGGGCCATAAGATCCGCCGGGACCGGAAGCTTACCGATTCCTTCCTCAGCCTGGACACAGCCAGTTCATCCCAGCTCTCTTGCAGCCTAAACTCTGACAGTTGCCTCCTCCAGGAGAATGGCTCCAAGAGTCCTGATTGCTCTGAAGAGCCCATGTCCTGTGACTCAGACCTGGGGACAGCGAATGTGGAGGATTCAGACCCATCTCTGCAAGAGTGAGCAGCCCTCCCCCTCTCCCTCCCTCACTCCCACTTCCCGCTTCCTTTCTCCCCTTCCCCTTTCCAGCCGTTCCTCCCGCATGTGACTGTCACCAGCACTGAACCCTGAGCATGGGACTCAGAGATTCTGGACAGATGGGGGAGGGGGAGGAACAGTCTCTGTCAGAGACTGAAGTCTCAGGAGCTGTCTGCAGGCGACATGACTGATGAGTGATCAGGACAATGGATTTAGACAGGCCCCAGTGCTGGCTGGGACTCTTGCATTGCCCCCGGGTGTCCTTAATCTCTCCGAATACTGTCTTCTTTCAGAGGGAGGGACACTGGAGCTCAGAGCTGTATTTAGGACTTCCCCAAATTCAGTGCAGAAGGGGACATACGGTGACCTCTGAGACGACTCCCGGCAGAGGTCACACTGGGTGATCTGCTTGTCTAGTGAAGAGCAGTGACCGTTTGTCTGGTCTGTGCTTCACTTGGCCTGTGTCCTCTTGGCCTGTGTTTAGGACCTTTGTCTCCATTCCTGCTGCGCCCCACTCCCCTTGGCTCCAGTCTTTATAGGATTCCTACCTGGTGTGGAATAAATACTGGGATTGGAGGCCAGGAGGATGTAAGAACCAGCTTGAGGCAGGTCTGATTTCACGTTTGCTCCCAACACCTAGCAGTGCAGGAATGCCAGGCAAATTGCAGACTCTTTCCGAGAGTCTATTTCTTTACACAGGAAAGTCCCTTTTAGGGCAGCTTAAGAAGCAAATCAGAAGCTAGTTAATGGGTTACACCCCAAATGGCTTCTGAGCACATAAGGTAAACTTTCCAAAGGTCCACTGGCAGACCTGGATGAAGTGCTGCCCTAGAGTTGACTGAGCCCCTGGCCTGACAGGCACACGTACCAGTCTAGCCCTGTCTTGTCACCCTCCTCCTGCACACTGCCAGCCGACACTGTCACATGGCCAGCCTCTTCCTTTCAAGGATCTTGTGATTGGAAAATTCCATTTAAAGTCATTGACTCAGCAACTGGTTCCCTGTGTGGGAAGTGTGGTCCTAAGTAGTGCGGGGGACTCTTGGGAAGAGGGTTAGGGTGCCTGGACCCACACAGGTCAGGAGCTGCACACGCCACACATGCACAGACAGGCCCACCGCCAGCATCAACATTCCACAGCTGACCTTGAACTTACTCTTGGAATAGGCACAGTGACCAGCTTTTCTTAGAGTATGTGCTTGAGTGTTTCATTTCTTGGTGTGTGTGTGCACGCATGCTCACACATGCACACACACAAATACATAGCAGGGAAGGGAAGGGTGTTATGCCACACTCTTGCTCAGGGGCTACTTCTGGCTCTGTCCTCAGTGATAATAAGGGGGCCACGTGGTACCAGGGGTCAAACTGGATTGGCCACATGCAAGGTAAGTGTATTAACCCCTCCCTGGACTCTCTCTTCAGCCCTTGGAGTATATGTTTTAAAGCTTAAGATTTTCACCAATATTTAATATGTAATTTAAGTTGGGCTGACAAGAGAGTATAGCTTCTAGGGCACATACCTTACAGCCAATTCAGGCTTAAACTTCAACATCACCAGGAGTAATCCCTGAGCACTGCCAGGTGTGGCCCCAAAACCAACAAAAAACCCAAAAAATTGGAAAATAAAAAATGTTTTGAAAATCCTCCCCTGCAACATATATAGATCCAGGACCATTTCATTCTTCCCATCCTTAAGTGAATTTCCTTAAACATGTTTTGATATTTTCCTTTTTGTCTTTCCCCTTTTTGGTATTATTTATTTGGGGGGGGGGGGGGGGAAGGTACATCCAGCAGTGATCAGGGGTTATTTCTGACTCTGTACTGGGCAATGCCATGAGACCATATGAAATGCCAGGGATCAAACCCAGGTTGGCCACGCTAAGGCCAAACACTGTCCCCACTGTACTATCACTCCAGTCCCTATTCTTGGTTTAACTTGAGCAGCACAGAACCAAAAAAATTTTTTAACAAAAATCAGCATTCAGATATCTTGGTGCCCTGATTAAAAAGCAGCTGACCATAAATGTGTAGGCTGGTCATCTATTCCTTTTGGGTTTTTTTTGTTTGTTTGTTTTTTGGGCTACACTTAGCAGTGCTCTGAGCTTACCCTTGGTTCTGTGCAAAGGGATCACTCCAGGTGGGAGATCACATGGGGTGCCAGGAATTGAACCCACGTGAGCCAGGTGCAAGGCAAATGCCCTGCTCACTGTACTATCGCTCCAACCTCTAGTCACCTCTTTTTGACTAGGATGTTTTGAAATATCTGATTTATGAAGGTAGGTCAGAGTAAAGCTCAGCTAGAAGACTATCAGATAAAAATCTTTCCCATGAGACCACATTTGGGAGTTTGCTCTCTCAGCCACAGGGGCAGACGTGGGCCACCGTTAACCTATTGTCTCTCGACCCTGCAACAAGTAGGAACCTCCAAAAGGGAGAAAGTACTAGCCTAGTGCCCATTCCAGAAGGCCCAGAAGGAGGCTCGTGTGCCTGAATGTGTAAGTGTGTGTCCCCACAAAGACAGGGACACTGGCTCCCTTTGGCCCCGAAGCATTGCTGGAGGCCTCACTGGGGACTGAGTGGTGCCTTCCCTCATGTGTGTACTTGTGACCACATGACAATCCTTGAGCCCGTGGGCTCAGAGACTTCAGGGAATGAACACACTCAGCCCTCATAGCACAGAGGTGCTAATTGGAAGCTTTAGATTTCTTGATTTTTAAAAAAAAAAAGTAGCAGGGGGCTAGAGTGATAGTACAGCGGGTAGGGCGTTTGCCTTGCACACAGCCGACCCAGGTTGATTTCCCAGCATCCCATATGGTCCCCCAAGTACCACCAGGAGTAATTCCTGAGTGCAGAGCCAGAAGTAACCCCTGAGTGTCCCTGGGTGCGACCTTGTACCTCACAACTCTGAGAACGAAATGGGTCCCCATGTGACCAAATTTCATCTCCCAGGATGGAGTCTTGGAGCCTGGGCTTCTTATCATTTGCTTATCTAACTGCAGGCCCACAGTTAGGCTGCTTAGGACTTCTAAAGTACTTTCTTCCCATTCCCATGCATTCTTTGTCTCAGCTCTGTCAGCTTCCTTTGCCCGAGGTTCTCAGCTCTCATAGCTGCTGCCCTCTGTGCTGGGGGACCAGAGGGACTGAAGAGGAGGAAGCCTGTCTCTAATGGGGAGGGCTCAGAGAGATCTTTGCTCTGTGCTCCAATCACAAAGCAGCATATCTCCCTACTTAGAATTTCCCTGGTGGGCATCCTAGAGGGCAGTCCAACTTGTCACACAAGGTATTTTTTTTTTGTTTAAAACTTCCTAGGGTGTTGTCAGAATTCAGCAAAGCCCAGGTGGACTCTGTGCCAACCCACCAACTAAACCAGGAAGCAGCAAGCCCTGTACCGCCCAGCCTGCACTCCAGCACTTGCCTGCACCCCGCCACATCGGTTCAGCCCTTGCCTGCCCCAGTCTTCTCCTGCGTTACTCCAGACACTGGCTCCCCAGACTTGCCACCATCTGGAACTGCCCCTGTGGTCCCTGCAGGGAGCAGTCCACACCAGCAGCCTTCGAGTCCAGCGGGTGAGCTGACCAGCGCAGCCTGCCAGGGGAGCAGCCAGCCAGAGCCCCAGGAAGATGGTGCTGGATTGAGCATCCTGGTTCCCTCACCTACAAGCCCAGTGAGTGGTGCAAGCTGTGGGCGGGGCGGAAGGGCCCCATGAAATGTCTCAGCCAGTGACTCTGAGTAGTCCCTGCCTTTTCCCCATTGGCCCTGGGTTCCCACCCAGTGCTGAGGTTCATTGCTTGGCAATGATGGAGCCCGTGTTTCTGGGTGTGAGTCAAGGAGATGAGGCAGACACAGTGCTGGACACTTCCTGTGGATGTGTCCTGTCAACGCATATCAACCCTGGGGGGAAGCTAATGCTGATCTAACCATAGACTGCTGAGGCTCATCTGTGTCAAGATACTTTCCTAAGGCAAGACACTCTGCTCACTGAGCCTTTATTTTTCCCTGAGCCCTTATTAAATTAACAGTTCATAAAATCCTCATTCTGCGACATGAATCAGATTTAGAACCACACACTGTCCGGGGACTGAAGCGATAGAACAGCAGGGAGGGGCCTTGCCTTGCAACATGGCCAACCCAGTTTTGACCCCTGACAGCCCATATAGTCCCTCAAGCACCTCCAGGAGTGATTCCTGAGGGCAGAGTCAGAAGTAAGCACTGAGCATCGCCAGGTAATATACAAAAAGCAAAAGAACCACATTGTCTGGTATGCTACTAGTGAACACTTGAAAGACGGCTAGTCCTGGGCCTGGGGAGATAATTCTGTGGTCAGGAGTGCATGCCTTGCTTACACAGGGACTCATTTTTAATCCCCGGTTCCTCATGCTTCATTCACCACATCACATGTGCCCTAGCACTGGCCCGTCCAGCCCAGTTGGCTGAGTATTGCTGGCGTAGTCCAGTGTGTTGATCAGCCAAAGGAAGCCAGCCCTAGGCAGCTCCAGGGAGAACCCTGCTTGGGCGCTTGTGATCTTAGATCAGGGCCCAGTGTTAAAGCTGGGAGACCATACCCTTGCCAATTCTCACACATTCATTCTCAGGAAACAGATGAAAATTCCCAGACAAAGTTATGGATCTTTCATAGTGAGCCATCTGTTTGAAAGAGAACTTGTGGTTTTATTAGACAGATAGCAATAAAGGATGCATATAACATAAACTCCCTGCTTTCACTGAACACCAAGTAGATTAATATGTACTCTGTTAGGTTATTTTTTGGCACATTCCTATGGTGCTCAGTATCTACAACAGTGTGTTGCTCTGGGTACCATGGGGTGTCGGGAACTAAACCTGAAGCAGCTGCAAACAAAGCAAATAGTACAGCTCTTTGAGCTATCTCTCCAGCCCTTACTAAAGTTTTAGTTTGTTTGATTTTTGGTTTGGGCGATACCCAACAGTGCTCAGGAGTTACTTCTGGCTCTGCACTCAGGGATCACTCCTGGTGGTGCTCGGGGGATCATATGGTATGCTGGGGATCAAACCCAGGTCAGCCATATGCAAGGCAAACACCCTACCCACTGTACTAACTGCCCCTGCTACTTTTTAAAATTTCTTTAATTAATTAATTTATTTATTTTTGCTTTTTGGGTAGTACCTAGCGACGCTCAGGGGTTACTTCTGGCTCTACACTCAGGAATTACTCCTGGTGGTGCTTAGGGTACCATATGGGATGCCAGAAATTGAACCCAGGTCGGCCATGTGCAAGACAAATGCCCTACCCGCTGTACTATCGCTCCAGCTCCCTGCTACTTTTTTATTAAAATCAGGAAATCTAAAGCTTCCAATTAGTAGAGTAGAGGCCCTCCTGTTGATCATCGATTTGCTCAAGCGGGCCCAGTAATGTCTCCATTGGAGACTTTGTTGTTACTGTGTCTGGCATATCGAATACTCTCGGTAGCTTGCCGGGCTCTCCGAGAGGGGCGGAGGAATCGAACTCGGGTCGGCCATGTTGGCTGCGTGCAAGGCAGACGCCCTACCCGCTGTGCTATCGCTCCAGCCCTAAAGCTTCCAATTAGAGCCTCTAATTAGGACCACATAACCAGGTTGGCAACTTTGAAATCATAGAATGTGAGTAAACACAATTTGTAAAAGCTTTGTGTAACCTGCAAACACTTTGTGATTCAGTTAATGTGTTATCCTCAGACTGTGTATCATATGTGCTCACAAACCAAAATAGGTACAAGGCTTAATATATGAAAGAAAATTATGTGGCCCCTCTGTATTCAGAGGGGAATAATGCCAGATTCTCAAAATGGGCTCGGACAAATGCCAGATTACTAACCCCAAGGAAGAATGTAGCAGTGTGTTAGTGGAAGAGACAGATGTTCCATGTTGTTGATTTGAATTGAGCATTGATGGAAAAGGTCCGGTGTGAGGTCAGGGAAAGGGAAGGCAGCTGCCTGCCCAGTGATGCTGAGGGGTTACTCCAGGCTCTGCGCTCAGAAGGGTACAAGGTAAATGCCCTACTGCTGTACTATCACTCCAGCTACACCTCTTAGATTTTTAATTCTTTGACATGTTTATTTTATATGTGTGCATATGTGATCCGAGCATTGAACCTAGGACCTCACACTTTAGAAGCCGGTGCTCTGCTACTGAGCCATATCCCTGTCCTCCCCCACCCCCGCCCCATTTACACACACACATACATGCCAGGCCAAGCCAAGCCAAGCCAAGCACTGTCCTGCTGTTGTTCATCGATTTTCTCGAGCGGGCCCAGTAACGTCTCCATTGGAGACTTTGTTGTTACTGTATTTGGCATATCGAATATGTCATGGGTAGCTTGCCAGGCTTTGCTGTGCGGGTGAGATACTCTTGGTAGCTTGCCGGGCTCTCCGAGGGGGGTGGAGGAATCGAACTCAGGTCGGCCATGTTGGCTGTGTGCAAGGCAAACACCCTACCTGCTGCGCTATCGCTCTAGCCCCCCTCATTTTATTTTTTGTTGTTGTTTGTTTGTTTTATTTAGATTTTTATTAGTGAAACACCATGAGGTACAGTTGTAGATTTACAAATTTTTGTGCTTGGGTTTCAGTTATACAATGATCGAATACCCATCCCTCCACCATTGCCCATTCTCCACCACCACTGATCCCAGTATCCCTCCCACCCCCCCAACCCCCCCATCCCACCCTTGCCTCTGTGGAAGGGCATTCCCCCTTGTTCTCTCTCTCCTTTTGCATACCCCTCATTTTAAGCCCAGCTTTATTGGGCTCTAATTCACCAATTAAAGTGTAGAATTTAATTTTTAAATAGACTCATAGGATTGTGTAACCATTACCACAGTCTAATTTATTTTGGTCCTGTGGCCACACCCACCAGTACTCGGGTTGCTCCAGGATCTGTATTTGGCAGCACTTGGGGGACTCAGTGCTGCTGGGAATACTGCCTGGGCTTCCTGTGTGAAAAGCCAGCTCTGTAGCCTGCTGAGCTGTCTCTAGAACCCCACAATTTAAAACCTCTTCATCCCCGGCTGAAGGAAACACCTTCACAGTACCAGTCCCTCTTCAGTCTTCTGTCCTTAGCCTCTGGCCATCCCTCAGCCACTTTGTGGTAGTCAGGCCTGTTCTAGAGGGTCACGTTAATAGTGGTATGAACCACACAGCTTGTCCTGCTGTCACCCCATGACAGGCTCAGCCCTGGAGCAGGTGTCATTCCTTTTTGTTGTTGACTGACATTCCTGTGTAGGTGGCATTGTACGGCCAGGTTACATTTTATTTATCACTGGCTGATGGACTTTTCCCTACCTCTTTTGCTATTATATTTGTGTTTGTATGTTTTTATTTCTCCTCAGTGCATTCAAAGTGAAATTTGGGGGGAATCCAGTTTAATTCCAGGTTTAACTTTTTTCGTTTGTGTTGGTTGGGGAAACACACACAGAGGTGCTCAGGGCTTACTCCCAGCTCAGTGCTCAGGGGTGACTCCTGGTGGTGCTAGGAGTTGGGGGCCAGGGAAAACCATCTGCTGCCAGAGATGGAGTCTGTGTCTCCCAAGCATGCACCATGTGCCCCAGACTGTTAAACTCTCCCACTAGTCCTTCTGTTCCGTCTCTTGAGTAGTACCACATTGTTTAAAACTGAAAGGTACAGTATGTTTTTCCACATCCTCACCACCAATTTTGATTGTCTGCCTCTTTAATTGCTGCTAGCCTCCTGGTAAAAAGAGACAGCTCACCCTGGTTAAGGGTTTTTTGTTTGTTTGTTTGTTTTTAACATTTTTTTTTTAATTTTATTTTCCCTTACCTTGGAGTGATGGGCTGGAGCCATAGCATAGCAGGTAGGGCCTTTGCCTTGCACGCGGCCAACCTGGGTTCGATTCCTCCACCCCTCTTGGAGAGCCCAGCAAGCTACTGAGGGTATCTCACCCACACAGTAAAAGCCTGGCAAGCTACCAGTGACGTATTCGATATCCCAAAAACAGTAATAACAAGTCTCATAATTTTTTGTCTGCTTTTTGGGTCACACCCAGCAATGCTCAAGTTACTCCTGGCTCGTGCACTCAGGAATCACTCCTGGCAGTGCTTGGGGGACCATATGGGATGCTGGGAATCGAACCCGGGTTGACCGAGTGCAAGTGAAATGCCCTACCCGCTGTGCTATTGCTCCAGCCCCAGGTCTCACAATTTGTTGTGAGACATTACTGGTGCCAACTCGAGCAAATCGATGAATAATGGGAGGACAGTGCTACAGTGCAGAGCTACCTTCAAGAGATAGCACAGAGGGTAGGGTGTTTGCCTTGCATGCGGCCGAGTTGGGTTTGATTCTTCCATCCCTCTTGGAGAGCCCGGCAAGCTACCGAGAGTGTCCCGTCAGCACAGCAGAGCCTGGCAAGCTCCCCATGGTGTATTGGATATGCCAAAAACAGTAACAGCAAGTCTCACAATGGAGACGTTACTGGTACCCACTCCAGCAAATCGATGAACAATGAGGGGACAGTGCTTCAGTGCTTCCCTTATCTTATATAGACACTGTGGTTTACAAAATTGTTCATCACGATTTGTTACAGACATTCAGTCACACCACTGTTGTACCTTCCCACCACCATTATCTCCAAGTTTTCTAGTCATCTCGTAAACCTACCCCCAAAGCAGGTCCTCAGTAATTTATTTGATGTTGCTTG